TCTCCAGGAGACATCTGAGCTTGCTGAATGTCCAGAATTCCAAAGGCCTCCCTAGAGATATTGCAGATGTCAACATCTGTAAAAATCTTTTCTGTCTAGAAGCGGATGAGTGGTTGGTGGCATACAGACTCCTGAAGCCCCTTGCACCCCCTCTCACCTCTGCAATCTGCCCTACAACGCAGGAGACCTGTCCGGAGGCTTGGGGACTCGGGGCTATGGTTCCTTGTTTCAATAGGTGGGCCATGGATCAATGTTCACTTTCTTCAAGGGAGAAAGCATAAAGCTACATCCCCTCCTGCCCAGACTAAGCTGTGATGATTTATTCTAGGCAGATGCCTCTGACAGGACCCTGTAAAATCAAGTTGTGAGTTTATTGTAGCCGTTAATTGTCAGGGTCTTTTCTGGCGCTGTCTAACTTACTACCGGGGTGGTGGTGGGGTGGGGGGGAACTCGGCCTTTTACCGTGACAAAGACTTAACTTTTAGTCAAGAATGTGTTAAAATAACCAGGAATGGAGAGGGTTTAAATATATTTAAGCAAAAAATGCAGGAGTACTGCTAACCTGTAGTCCTTTTGTTAAAATAAAATAAAATCTGATTTCCCTTTCAGCTGCTAGGGATATTCTTTGTTAGTCCCCCCCTTCCAATAAAATGCTGCTCTTGGCTTTGTTTTAACAGGTTTGCTGAACCATTCAGATGACTCCAGTCTAATCACACACCGCTCTCCTAGACTCCAGGCTAATATCTGGGGCTTTCTGGTACCACACATGGGGGAATCTTGCTTTGGGGGACATGAAGAGAAATTTGGACTCCCCCACCAATAGCTAGGAAAAGAGAAAGAGACAAAAAATTAGGCCTCAAAAGTAGAGGTGGGAATGCATGAGAAAGCACTCAATTTGGTTAATTACTGACGCAGCAGAGAAATCTAGCTGCTTTCCCAGCCCATGCTAGTCTCACATAAAGAGACATCAGATCTTGCTAATCTGTCGACCCCTCAGACAAAGTTTATTTGTGGTGACTTTTAAACTCCTGACTTGCCTTCCAATCACCGAGTTTAAAATGAAAAGCTTTAAATAAACACCAGGAATAGAAGATAAATAAACTTTTTCCCCCTCGCAAGTGCCTAGCTTGCCGAGGTTCAGGCTCAAATCCCCAGAGGACAGACTGCTCTCTTTTGTGTTAATGTTTAAAAGATTTTCCAACGCTGGAGTTTATTCCTACTGCAAACATCTCTGTTTACAAGGTCAAGTGTATCAGCACTCGACACAGCTTAAGAGCGTAATTATTTATGTAAGGGCGTTTGAGTGTGCATCAGGGGCTTGGCGGAAGCCCAACCTTCAGCCCACTGCTCAACAGCTCCTCAGGACAATATTACCAGTCCTGGTGATTAGTCCCCTCCACGGTGTGTTTACTTTTGCACGCCTCAATGTTTTGTAACAAAATTTTGTATTTTTTTTTCCACCAAAAGTGTGAAAATGGCTTTGAAGTATTGAGTCTCATAGGCTTCCTAGACCTATTGGTAACAGATGTTATTGGCATGTTTGATTGAATGAGAAGGCAGAGAGGACACTCCTGGGGGTCAGGAGCAGAAGGGAGGGGGTGGGCAGGGTGGGTCTCGGAGTTGAGGCAGAGGTTAGCTCACACAAGAGACAATATTTTGTGAAGTCTCTTCACAAAGGCCAACAGCACCAGCAGAGGCCGGTTACAAATTGTTTTAGTTGCCTCATTTACAAACATCTAATTGTTCATTAAATTGAAGGCAGCATTAGCTCCCATTCCACTTGCTGTTTGATGGACTCCCGCGCCCCCTCCACTCCCCTCCCACCCACCACTGGGTTAACCACCGTGTAACTGTGAAGGCAACTACCCCAAAGCCACTGTTTAAACTCTTTACTGATGTGTGCATTTTAATAAAACAACCAAAAAATACACAAAGTCATAGTTATTTAAAACACAGGACTTTAAAAAATGGTGTCTATAAAAATACAATGTTTAAGGCAGTCTGGAAATGCATTTATACATTTCTACAATGTCCATAAATTCTCTTAAAAATAACGACGTTACTTCAAATCTGTAAAATACACTGTACATTCTTAAGACTGTTCTACCCAGAGCACACTTCAAAACGGGCTTGCAGGAGTGGGTTCCTGGTGACCAATGTGTTCTATACATTTCTTGGATGGGGGGGTGATGCAACATTGATGCAGATTTAAAACTTTTAATTTCTTTTTAAAAATAAATTATTTCTGACGCATACAATTTATAAAAATTCTATATACAAAGTACAGCAACTGGTAAGAAACCCCAGTTTTAATACAGTTTATATACGACGTACCAGGGTGGAAAACCCCGATAGGGGCAGAGGCAGTATTCAATCTCTGCATACTCAAACTTAGAATTTCTTGGTGTGAAAAAAAAAAAAAGACAACAAAACAAACACCACACAGAGGTTTTCCTAGATGGCAGTACAGAGCTTTAAGATAAAAAGTTGCATTGTTCAACACCATGGTAACTTTCTAGGCCAGGTTTTTGGACCCTTAATTTTAAGACACGTGGTGCTCAGAGATCAGAACTGTGGCAGTGAAACTGGAGGCGGGGGTTAAAGGTTATAATGCAGACATGACTTCGGGGTCCCAGACAAGGCAATCGCCAGCTCCACTGGGGTTCCTGGCTGCTATACACAGTACAGGAATGAACCGGCAAGGGACCGCTTCCACTTACTTACGATTGCTGTTTCTCAGTGGCCACAAGCAATTAAAGTCGTTACCAGTACTATTCATCCCTTCAGAGGAAAACGGTTTAAAAACAAAACAAACCCAATTCCCTCCACACCCCCTCCCCCAGTCCCTTGGAGTTGTGAAGACCTCCACCGTTCAGCAGAGCCCAGGCCTCCCTTGCTTTTTGCAGGGTGTCCTGAACTCTGCAGATTCGAGCCGGTAGGATAGGTCAGTCGGTTATTTCCAGCTTCGAAACCGCACAGTGGAGGGCCGGGCATGGTGGCTGGGGTAAATGCTGGGCCCTGTCCACACAGGGAGAGTGCGGGTCAGTGTTCCAGACCATCCCCGGGACCCCCAGCCACAGGTGCCCAGCTCGGGAACCAGCCGGATCGAGTGCACCGGCTTGCAGCAGCCCGCAGCCGGGACTACAAGTGTGATCCGAGCAGCAGCAGCAACAGTAAGCAAACAAGCGGGGTCCAGGCGCCTCGGGTCGCCCAGTGGTCTCCACTGCCGCTGCTGCTGCTCCTGCGCCCGGGCCCGTGGGGCAGATCCCCGCGGCCGCCCGTCCCAGCAGCGCCGCCGCCCGGGCGCGCGAGGCCGTCGTCATCGTCCAAGGGCTGCTCGCCGCCCGCCGTGCCCGCGCGCGGCTCGTCGTCATATTCTTCGTCGTAGTAATCGTCCAGCCCACCGTCCGAGCCACTGCTGCCCGCACCGTTGCCCGCGTCTGGGCCGAAGCACAGACGGGCCATGTTCTCTTTGACCGACTCACAGATGGGCCGCTCCAGCCCATCGCACACGCAGTCGTTGAGCAGCGCCGCCTTGGGCACGGCCAGCATGTCCTCGATGACCGCGCGGCACTCGTCGGTGCAGCGCAGCCCGTTGAAAAGTTTGCCGCAGTAGGCCAGGTAGCGGCCGAGCGCCAGGTTGCAGCGGCTGTCGCGATCGCAGCGCCGCCGGGCCTCCGTGCAGCCCATGACCGAGCCAGCTCCCGCGCCTGGGCCCACGCCGCTGGTGCGAGGCAGGCAGGGCTCGATGGCGCGCTTGGTGGACTTGCAGTGTTCGTCCTGCGCGCAGTCGCAGTCCTCCAGCGCGGGCCCGCGGCGCGTGTGGTTGAGCTGGATTAGCGCCGAGATGCAGTGGCTCGGGCAGCGCCAGCGCGGCGAGAAGGACGCGGCCGAAGCGGGGAAGGCGCCGGCGGGCCCCGGAGCGTCAGCCCCGCCGCGCTGCGCCAGCACCGGCGCGCACGCCTCAGCGTACTGGTTGTAGGCGTAGCTGCAGTCGGGCTCGCCCTGGCACTGCAGCAGCGCCTGCCAGCAGATGAGGCGGCGGCCGTGAGCCAGCCCCGAGCCCCGCGGCGCCGAGCCTAGCAGCTGCAGCAGCGCCATAAGGCACAGCAAGGCGCCCGGAGTGGTCCCCTTGCGGGCCCCGCCGCCGCCCAGCAGCGCGGCTAGCATCGCAGGCAGCAGCGGCCGCCGGACGCGGTGCAGAGCGGAGATGAGGCGCGGGCGGCGGCAGCGGGGCCGCTGAAAAAGTTTGTCCGAGTCCCGCGCACTTCTGGCATGGGCGTCCTCATCCATCCATGCTCGCGGCCCGGCGGCTGGTAGAGGCGGGTGTTCGTTCCGGCACCGCGGCCGGGGCTCCCTGAGAGGAGCAGCCACGCCGGTCCGGCTCTGGTCGGTCGGCGGCTGGAGGCGCTCAACGCCGCCCCGGAGGGCCGCGGCGAGGCTGCAGGAGCGCGCGGCGCCGGGGGTGCATGGTGCTCGGCGCCTGCAGACGATCGTGCGGCCGGCGACTGCTCCGTCCCCGGCTCAGCGGCGCGTATCACTTCGCAGTTCTCGCATCCCCTTTCCCGCGGCCAGGCCGCCGGGTCCCCTCCCCCTCCGCCCTGGCCTTGGCCACGCTCCGGGAAGCTCTGGGCGCCGGGCGCTAGGAGACCCCGAAACTCGGAGCGTGCTGCTGGGCTTGGGGACCTGGAGCCTGGGGAGCGGATCTGCGGAGCCCGGCTGCCGACTCGCTCGCGGCGAGGCTTTAAATACAAAAATGGGCCTGGAGCCCCCGTGTGGTGCCGCGGCGCCCCCTCATTATGCATGCATAGAAAAGCAAACAAACAAAAACATTAGCAACGCTCCTTCGGATCGCCGAGCCCCGGCCCCGCGCGCTCCAGGCTTGCCCGCTTTCTCCTTTCTCCACTCTCGGGCGCCCTTTGCTCGGCCCCCTTCCCGGGTTTTGCGCGCTGCTATTGGTCCAGCCTGTTGTTGTTGAAACTTTTTTTTTTTTTTACGAGCCGCTGGAGTGGGGTTGCAGAGTGGGGGAGGGCGGTGGGCAGCTCACATTCAGGCATTCAGGGCTTGAAAGGAACGGCTTAGGGAGCCTGACACAGGCCCAGCTCCTCCCACTCTTCAGGAGGCTGGGATACCGAACCCCAGCTCGCGCACAGAGCCAGCGGGCAGGGCTTAGGGCCAGCTGCCTGCATCCGGCTCAGCCACCAGCCTTTTTGTTCGCTTCCCCCGCCCCCTTTTTGTTTGGGTGGGGGGGCACTTTTATTAATTCTTACTTATCCCCCATCTTTGCATTCGAGAGAGTTCGAAAGTCACTTTAATTTTCAGGCTCCCCGTCTTTGAGTCCTGATTACCTCTGGGAGTATAGCGAAGGGAGGAGGTCCTGAGAATTTAGTGTAAGACTTTAGAAACTTAGACACAGTTCGTGTGCAGGCACACGCGGACTCTCTCTCTCTCTCTCTCTCTCTCTCTCTCTCTCTCTCACACACACACACACACACACACACACTCACACACACACACACTCATGACCACAATCACTACCACCATCACAAGAAAGACAGGCACTTTCCACTAGCTTTTAGTTTCTTAATCGGGCAGGTAAGACCCTTGCCCTGAGCGTCGTTTTCCAGATGTAAGAAGTCCAAAGAACTGAAATCCATCTCTTAACTCACGATTGTAACACAAACGGCAACGACAAATCGTAGCGTTAAACACACGTGGAATGCTGAGCGCTACGACCTAGCTGCAGTCACAGCACAGGGGCCCGAGGTAAACCGACCCGCTACGAGCTCTGAAGTGTACATTTCAGTTCTTCAGTGTGTTGAAGCAAAGCTGCCGGCAGAGCTGAAGAACAGAACTCTCACAAGCTACCTTAACTGTGGCGCAAAACAGCCTTTGGCCACCAGAGGCACCGCGAGTCTGCGGCCTGTCAAAAACTGGCGCTCTTGGTGAGCCTGTCGATTCCATCTGTCACAAATTTTAATTTTAAGTCGCTGCCGAAGCATAGGGTATCCCAGCTGCAGCGCGCTCAGAAAGTGAACTGTCCCCCTCTCCAAAGAGACAAGGTATTTGAAAGGGTAAAAGTGAGGGCCAGAGCCAAGACCCAGGTGGATTAACCTGGCGATTGGAAAAGGCTTACTGCTCAGGCTGGGGAGTTGTGCCTCTGCAATCGCCTCAAACCATGGGAGAACCAGACTGAGCTATGCGGAGGCTAGCTATGGTGCTTTGATTTTTGTAGCGGAAAACAAACGCAAATATGTCCTCAAACACTGTGCAGGCATGCTGCAGCAAGGTTATTCATCCCAGGCACAGGCAGGAGGCTCACTGCAAGTTCAAGGCCTGCGGGTTCCATCTAGTCAGGGCCAGGTTAGACACTTGCTAACATCCTGAGCAATCTGTACTTCCAAGCTCCCCTGAAGGCCAGTCCTGAGATGCATCTTCAAGTGTGTGTTTGTTTCGGCTTCTTTAGAGAGATCTCAAAACAGCCCACAGGACAATCATCTGGAGACCTTGTGTTCAATTCTGGATTCCTGGCTCCTGGAGTCTCAGACAGCTAACCCCCAGGAATGCCTGGAAGTCTACATGTCCAGCAAAATTTAGCAGGGGTACTGTTGCTGTTTAGCTGCTTACTGGGGACATGCTCTGACCGTCTCTGTTCCGGAGGTTATAAAATGGTTCATTTTTACTACTCAAGTGAAATCTTAGCCTTGATAAAATCTTAGTGGGAGTTAAGGGAGAACAAGATCTCTGCTCGCCCTGAAGGCCTCTCCAGAGACTCAGGGCCTTGTCATGGAAGGGGAGAGGAGCTGGCCGCGACCGCAGGCTGTGCTATCTTACGCATAGGCCTTTCTGCACCTCAGGCTCCTACTAGGTAAGAATACCATGTCTGTGAACACTCAGTCCTCCCTCCCTCTCTCCCTCCTCTTCTTGACTTCTCAGTTTTGAATCCCGCTGGCACCCCCCCCCCCAGGGCGCCAAGGACAGAAGCTTGGCTTCGCCTACTGATGCTGTCCCAGCTGGACTACTGGTGTGCCATGTACACACAGCACCTGCGGAGGCTAGAGAGGGCTTCAGGTGGCTTAGAACTGGAGTTAGAGGGTATTGTGGGCTGCCATGGGGGTCCTGGGAACTGAACCTGGGTCTTCTGCAAGAGCAGCTTGTGCTATTAACTGTTTAAACTTATTTTATGGACTTTCTTTTTTTTTTTTTTTTTTGTTTTTCTCTTGTTCTTTCCATTTCTGTATATGCCTATGGTGAGCTTGTGCGTGTGCATGTATGTGTATGTGTTTGTATATGTGTGTTAGTTTGAATGAGAACAGTCACTATAGGCTCATATATTTGAACTGTAGGTCCCTAGATGATGGAACTGTTTGGGAAAGGCTAGGACTGTGTCCTTAGAACAGGTGTGTCACTGGGAGCGGGCTTGGAGGTTTCAAAACCCACACAGGGTCCTGTCTTGCTCCCTGTCACTTGGTTGCTGTCAGCTCTCAGTGACTGCTCCAGGACCATGCCAGCCTGCATGCTGCCACAGACACTAAATGATGGGCCTGGTCTCACTCTCTGAAACTGTAAGCCAGCCCCCCCCCCCCAAATCAATGCTTTCTTTTGCAAGTTGCCTTGGTCACAGTGTCTCTTCACAGCAATAGAAAAGTGACTAAGGTGGTGGATGTACCTGTACATGTATGCACATGCATGCAGAGGCACCAGCTTGGTATCTGAAATCATTCTCATGGGCTCTCCCACCTTATTCCCTGAGGCAGGTCTCTCAATCAAACCCAGAGCTTGAGGATATGCATAATCTTGGTCGCTAGCTTTCTCTGAGGATCCCCTGTGTCTTAATTATTGTTCTACTGCTGTGATAAAACACCATGACTAAGGTAACTTGTAAAATGAAGCATTTTATTGGGGGCTTACTTCCAGTTTCAGAGGATTAGTTCATGATCATCATGGTGGGAAGTATGGTGGCAGGAAGGCAGGCATGGTGCTAAGAGCTCACATCTCTCTCTCTCTCTCTCTCTCTCTCTCTCTCTCTCTCTCTCTCACACACACACACACACACACACACACACACACACACATACACAAAGAGACAGAGAGAGGGAGGGAGGGGGAGAAAGAGAGGGAGGGAGGGAGGGAGGAAGAGAGAGAGAGAGAGAGAGAGAGAGAGAGAGAACCTTGTGTCACACTGCCAATAAGGCCACAACTCCTAGTTCTTCCCAAACAGTTCCTCTAGGACTAGGCACTCAAACAGGGGAGCCTATAGAGGCCATTCTTATTCAAAACATCACTGTCTTTTTTGTCGCTCTCTTCTAGGGGTGGAATTACAGGAAAGCCCACCCTGGATTTATGGGTTCTGGGAATCCAAACTCCTGTTCTCGTGCTTGCGTGGCAAGTGCTTTAACTACTGAGCTGTTTCCCAAGCCCCTCCTCTGTTGTGGGATATTTGTACACTGTGTGATGATGTATTGCTGTGATTGGTTTGATAAAGAGCTGAAGGCCAATAGATAATCAGAATGGGATAGGTGGGATTTATGTGGAGAGAGAGGAAGAGGAGGAGGAACCAGGGAGCACAGGATTCACTAGCGAGATTCAGGGAGAGCAGGATGTGCAGGAGGAAGATGACCTAGAGAGCCACATGGCAGAACACAGATTTAAAATGTGGGTTAATCAAGTTATAAGAGCTAGTTTGATGTGGGATTCCCCTCTGTATGTTGTGAATATGTTTTTATCACCATTGGTTAATAAAGAAGCTGTTTCGGCCAATGGCTTAGCAAAGTAAGGAGGGAAATCTGAACAGAGATATAGAGAGCCAATAGGTGTAGTCAAGGAGATGCCATATAGCTACCTACCAAAGGAGAAAGACACCAGTGAGAACCTTACTGGGTAGGCCACAGCCTCGTGGTGATACACAGATTAATAGAAATGGGTTAATTCAAGACGTAAGAGCTAGCTAGAGATATGCCTGAATCACTGCTGAACAGTGTTGTAATTAATAGAGTTTCTGTGTGATTATCGGGTCTGAGTGGCTGGGAAATGAGCAATCAGTCTCAGCCTACACTAGTTGGGAACAAGCCTAAGCTAAAGGCCAAACTTTCATAATTAATAACACATCTCTGTGTCATTGTTTGCATGCTGGAGTCCTGATGAGAAAGCTCTGCTAGAGTTCTCTTTATTTCTCAGAGGCCTGTGGATAGTCTCCGACATGGGTGGCCATCAGCTTTTCTCCCTCCATTCCTAGCACTGACACCAGATAAAGACCTGAATCGGTTTCCCTTTCCTGAGAATCTTGGGCAGGTGTTGTGGGATATTTGATTGTGCTGTGAATCTCCAAGAATGTGTTAATTGATTTAACCTTGGATGGGGCAGAGCCAGTAACTATTTGACAGAAGTTAGCTATAGATAAAATGGAAGAGCCAGAAATTCAGACGGAGAGAGACACACAGTAAGGAGTAGGGAGGGACTTAGCGATTAGAGATCTCTTCAGTTTTGCACAGCGTGGTGAGACATCTCTGACCAAGAAGGAAGATCAGCTGGTTGTTTCTCGGTTTCTCTGATCTAGCAGGTTTTCACCCCAACATCTGACTCCCGAGTCTTTATTGATAAATAGAACAACTTAGATAAAAACAACAGGCAGGCTTTTCTGACATTGACTAATGGAACATGGCAGAAGTAACTGTCTCTGGTGCTTTCAAGGTAAGGTCACAGGAAACTCTGTGGAACCTGCCTGAGTGTCTTGCGGTGTTTGCTCTGGAGAAGTCAGTTACCACATAAATAAGAAATAGGGTCACTGCTCCGAGGAAGCCTGAGCTTTCATGTTTAGAGGCATCCAAGAAGCATATGTGCGATTCTCAGAACACAAATGCCGAGACGAACTCACTGCATTTCAGTTTCTCCCCAGGTACCAAGGAGGGTTGGGGTGGGTGGGGGCTGGGGGAAATTTCTTAAGCATATTTCTGCTTAACTAATTCTTCTTCTGATGATCAAGCTTTCAAACTTTATAAACTGTTCTATTTGGAAAATTGGAATTCTCCTCAAGGAAAATGGTAACTTTCATTATTAAATATTGGCAGGCAAGCAATAAATAAATAAATAAAAATTAAGCCAACCTCTTACTGCCCTCCACTGATCCCAGTGTTCTATTAAATTAAGGCTATGAGAAGCCTGTGGACAGGAAAGGAATAGCCAGAGAATAGGCCTTTCAATTGACACATTTAAAGCTTTTCTTTTCTAATTTCAGTATGAATATAATATAAGCAGACCACACAAGGCATGCCTGTTCCTCTTCAGCCAGCACTCTGGAACCACTAACTCTAAAACATTACTTTTAAAAAAAATATTTATTTATTTATTATGTATACAATAGTCTGTCTGCATGTATGCCTGAAGAGGGCACCAGACCTCGTTATAGATGGTTGTGAGCCACCATGTGGTTGCTGGGAATTGAACTCAGAACCTTTGGAAGAGCAGGCAATGCTCTTAACTGCTGAGCCATCTCTCCAGCCCCCTAAAACATTACTTCTTATACAAGTGAGTCATTACACTCAATGTTGGGCGTCAAACTGACAACAGGAAAAGTCCCTGAATGTCCAATGACCCCAACTTTATGAAAAACCAACACCTACGAATCAGAGGAGGTTCAGGCAGCACTCCCCTGGGTTGCAGCAAATGATTTCCCAGCAACCTTTGCACTGTGCATGCCCTAATGCCATGCAACGCCAACAAGTGCTGCCCAATGCTTCTCAGCTCCGGTCAGAGACTGTGGTGTGTTATGAACTCCAGTGTGGACACTGTGTTGGCAAAATTGTCTGTTCTTGTAGAATCACATGGCTTAACTGTGGAACACAAAGATTTGGGGTGTCCGTGCATGCCCACGCATGGAGGCAAGAGGTTTATACCCAGTGTCTTCCTTGATTCTTCTCCACCTTATATTTTAAGACAGTGTCTTCCACTGAAACGGGAACTCACCAGTTCCTGGACCAGCTGGCCAGCAAGCCCTGGGATCCTCTTGCCTCGGTGTCTGCAATGCTGGGGCACAGGTGTGCACTGCCACATCCAGCTTTGTATAAGGGTGAACAGTGACCCAAACAGCTTCTCACACTGATGTGCTGCTCTTGTTTTCCAACATCATGTGTCTCCATAGGCCCAAAGCAACAGGGCTGTTAGGTTGCAGGTTGAAGTCCGTAAATTATGAGCTCTTACTAGCCCCATGTACTGACCCTCTAGGCATTTGTCATATTAACAGAAAGCTGACTAACAGGCATGCAAATTTTTAGTATCTGGGGAACAACTTCTCTGGGCCTACAGCTATGTTTTTCATGACTAGAAAATAAATTTCTGTTGTGCTGATTTGTTTGGTGCATGCCCATACTCTCAACCCCAGGAGGCTGAGTCAGGTGATAGTCAAAGTAAAAGAGGCTGGGACACTTACCAAGACTCTATCTCAAAAGCAATAGCAAATGAACAGAAACATTATGGTTTGACGTTATGGTTTGAGTCCTAAATATGCCCCACAAGTTCATGTTTTAAACGCTTGTTCCCTAGCTAGTGGCTCTGTTTTGTGAGACTATAAATCTGTTAGGAGGTGGGGCTGAGGACACAAGGGGCAGCTTCTCCAGAGCCCAGCCCCTGGCTCCAGCTCAGCTCTGTCTGCATCCTGGACTGTTGTAATGTGAACAGCATCTACCACACAGTCTTGTCCCCATGGAGGGCGGAGCAGACAGGGACCTGAAACCATGGGCAGAAGTCCACCTTTCCTCCTGTGTACTGTTTCTGCCAGGTATGTGGGCCACACAGATGATGAAGTCATGGATGCAGTAAGCTTACTGTGAAAATGTGGGAAAACATTTACATTCCAGACAAATATCCCACATAAAGCTTCTTTCCTAAATGTCAGATGGAAGGAAGGAAATTTTCAGAAATATTTTATATATGTTTTGATAAAAACTATATTTAGAAACACATTTTGCAGGCAAGGACAACTTAAATAAAAATATGAATAAAATTATAATATTTTTAAAAAAGCTTTAAAATATGTAGACACATAGGAAGATAAATGTAACAAGATGTTAAATTTCCAAAGTATATGTAGTACCATCTAAAGACCTATAGGGTTCCTGGAATTGAGGAAACGTTCACATGGAAAACGCAGTGGCTGATGGAAGCTGCAGAGCTGCTGTTTGGGGTGTACGAAGCTCATCCGTGTTAGTACTGAACATGTACTTGTTACAGGGAGGCCGTTGTCATGTGGAAAGTTTACGAAGGGACTTTGCTCTGGGGTGGAGAAGAAAGTTTCTTAAACAAACACAGCCATCAGTTTATCAAGAAATATGATCGCTACAATCGGATCAAAAACTTACATGTTGCTAAGTAAAATTCTAGAAATCAAATAAGAAAATCTAGGCGATGGCTCCTAATCTATAACTTAGGAAAATTCTTATAATCAGGATGGGAAAGCCAGAAGACAGAGGAATAAAGCAAGTTTTAGCTATACAAAAACGAGAGAAAACCAAGAAGAAAGCGGACAGACAAGGCCCAGGGAGAGCGTGAAGCAGCAGCTGTGGGCTGGCTGTGTCCTGAGCCGGTTTAGGCTACAGCCTACTCTCTACTCTCTGTTTGGACTTCCCGCCTGGCTTTACTCTGCTAAGCCATTGGTCGAAGTGGCTTTATTCATTAGTCAATAAAAGCAACACATAAACAGAAGGGCATTCCTCATCAGGCACGTGGAGCCCAGCGTGGGATACTGCGTATCTTTCCCGGTTGTCTTCACTTTATTGTCTTGAGGCAGGGTCTGTCACTGACTGGGAGCCCCCTGCTTTGGCTGGGCTGGGCAGGAAGACCCCGGGGCCCCTGTCTCTGTCCTCCCCTCCCAGTGCACACTCAAGTCTTACCCAGCTCTTGTGCAGGTGTTGGAGATAGGTCTGTCAGAGGTAGGCTCGTCTTTGACTTCAGCCAACTACCATCCCAACTGCACGAATCAGCTTGCCTTTAGAAGACAGCGGATCTCCCTCTATCATCACAGGTCAGGAGTGGAGGGGAGGATTGGGGTGTGGCAGGGGAGATATAATGTAGATGGTTTCTCCTCGCCCCAGCGCATAGTGGTTTTTGGCAGTTTGGTGAGCATTCAACAAAAGTTAAGTTCGCCCTGAATTATGAAATTCCCTCTCTCATGGCTGGTTATTCGGCAAATGCTGACCACCTCTGTGGGTCAAGGCCCGTCCCAGATCCCACAGATCAAGTCACAGAGGAAGCTGTGCCCTCCTGGTCATTTATCCAAGGTCAGCACATTTGCTGCCCCAGTTCTCGTTGGGAATCTGGGGAGTACGTGAGTCCTGGCCTTGAAGGCCGGAAGCCCCAGGTGCCCACAGCCTCCTCTCTCGTAGAAGCAGAGGTGAGCTGAATTCCTTCTGCGGACCTTGTAGGCCTGAGCAAGGAGTTTCTGAGATTCTCAGGCCCTTGTAAAGCTTGTGGGGAAGGGTTCATGGCAACAGGGGTTAGGATGTCTCTTCAAAAGCCGGCAGCCAGTTTCTGCCAGGGGCTTGTCAGAATTGCTCGAGAGGAAGAAAAAAGTGAGCGAGGGAGAGACAAGTGCACACAGACGTTTTTAAAGTAGCTAGCAACCAAGACAACACCAATTATTTAACCACACTAAAGAAACCAGCAGCCAAACCACAGATTATTTAACCACATATCCAAGTGCCGAGCACAGCATAGCCAGCCACGGTCTAGTAATGTAAATATCCCCAGCAGCCGGTTCCCAGGGAGGCAAGAACTGCGGAGCTGGGACAGCGCCTCACCTGGTCCTGTCTCTGCTCCAGATGTGTGGAGCTGAGAAACTGGCTCCAATCCAGCCAGGGCTTCCCTTTTGTTTACTTTTCACGTTTACATTATTGTTTCTCTAAAAACAGACCTGTTCCTCTCCTGCTGAGCTGTGAGTCTCTCGTGGGCATGTGTACACGGGGAAGCAGTTCCCACGGAGAAGTCCCTCTTTGTCAGCCTGTCTCTAACTTTCCTTTTTATTCCCTGCCCCTTTCTCCCTTTTTCTTTCAGTTCTTTGGTAATGTTCAGTAACTAGAAGTTCACTGTCAAAGAATGTTCATAGGACAACAGTCACTTTCGTTTTTGCCACCAGCAATGACGTGATCCACAAAGGTGGAAGTTTCTCCGAGAGTCCCTCCCACAGAGAGGATCCTGTGGAGAGTGCCATGCAGATGTCCATTTGAAGATCCTAGCTGTGGGCTAGCCTGCAGGTTGGTATCTGGCAGCCAATCAGATTCCACTCTTTGAGGAGCTGAATCAAGTGGCAAACTGGACTTACAGGTAGCATAGAGCAAGCAAAGGTGGCTTACAGGGGCCAGCAGGAAGGGACAGCTGAGGAGGGCCCTGTGGTCCAGAGTCAGCGAGGCAACCAACAGACATCTACACGCTGGAGGAAGGAAAGAGGCACTGTCTCCTGCTTGTCTTTGTTCCCCACAGCAGTAGCCAGACTACAATTATGAAGTATCAATGAAAGTAATTTTATGGTTAGGGTCACCACTACGCGAGGAATTGTATGTATTAAAGGGTCACTACATTAGGAGGGTTGGAACCACTACTGCATATGAAGGGGTGTAGTTGGATCTCTCTTTGGCCTTCCAGCTCACAAATAATGACATGGAGACTTATTATTAATTATGAAAGCTCGGCCTCAGCTTAGGCTTGTTCCTAACTAGCTCTCATAACTTAAATTAACCTGTATTTATTAATCTACATTCTTTTGTGTGACTCAGTACCTCGTCTGTGTACTGCCCTTTCTGCTTCCCCCACTTTTCTTCATGGCACTGTTCTCTCTTTCTGCGCTGAAGTCCTGCCCATCCTGCCTGGCTCTTGGCCATTCAGCTTTTTTACTACACCAATCACAGCAATCCATCCACAGTGTGCAGACATCCCACATTTCCTCCTTTTATAGAAATAAAAGGTAAAGTTGTAACTGTAACACAGTAAAATTACATACAAGAAGAACAACTGTCAGATAAGAATCACATTTACAATGTCCAGTCTGTCTATATTTGGCAAAATCAGAGAAAATTCTCCATTATCTAACCTAACTTGGCCAGTCAAAAGTTTTGTACCTAATTTACTTTATAACCTAACTTGTATTACCAACCCAAAACTACCTTTTTAGACCTAAAAATATTTCCTTAGATAAAAAACTTAAGCTCTTATGTCTTTCAACCTTATATACTTTACACATCTTATGTAATTTCTTTTCTCCATTTGGTAGCAAGAAAAACTGTCACTATAACTATCTAGTCTTCAATCCCATCAAATACCTCAGCAGGATATAATATTACCTGAGTAAATAGGAAGTGCAGAACAAGCACCTTCCAAAACTATAGAAACAACAGAGACTTCTGGCTGCCTGGACAGTCACCCAAGGTTCCTCTGCAATATTGGGGCATCCATCTTCAGCCTACAGGCCTAGAATATCTGATGAAATTTTCTGTGAAGCAGGAATTTTGAAGGACTGTCCTACATTGTCTTGGCAAGTTTGACAGTCACCTTCTTTTGTGTCCTCTTTATTCAGTTTGGTCAGCATACTGTTAGCAGTTGAGGCAAGAACAGTTTCTTGCCCAATGACTAACTTTGCTACAAAGAAGGCAACCTCAATATTGAAGTTCTTTGATGTACATCAGTATTTTTTGAAGTATATTGGTGCTGCAAAGAGAAGGGTCTCACTATCATGAAAAGCCTTATGTTATTAAAGCATTTTAATTGCCACATTCTGTCAGTCTTTGAAGTGTTTGAAGACCGCCTATATCTGTTTAAAGTGTATCTCTGTTTTACCTTGAAAACAGTGCTAGCATGACTCTAAGTTTGATTGTCATAGATGACTATCTACAAGCCTGCATTTCTAAATTATCCTAAATAGTTATAATAATTGCTTTCAAGGAATAAAAATTTGCATTACATTGTTAAATGATCTGCATAAGTCCAACACCATGAACAAGAGTAGAAACATATACAGTATAACAAAAATAACCTTAAATTTGTAACAATATATAAAAACCCATATCAATATAAAATATTTGAGACTAGTAGTTGATTTTTGTTCAAAAGTAGACACAACACGCCACCCTTTTAACCCATCATTTCTGTACTACACCCCCTCTTTGCCCTTCAAAATGAGTTTCCTGAATCTGGTCACCTTTGTTCAGCTTTTTTTCCTGACCATGACCAACAACAACTTACAACCAACCCTCCTAAACTTTGGTGATAAACATCCATTAAACAATTATTGTGTTCTCTAAACTGCTTCCTGTTGTCTGGGGCTGACTGCATGTCTAGGGAACTCTGGGTAATAGTCAAGTCCTTTGTTGTCTAGTAATGGGAAAGCACAGGGTTTTTTTAAGATCCTTACTGGAGTAGTCTGTGAGGCTGGACCACGTCACGCAGCAGATTGAAACTGTAACAGAGGCATTCTGAGAAAGTGGATCACTTGGGATACTTGTCCTCATTGGTGTTTGATTTTTTTTTTCTGAAAACACACAAACTTTTAAAGGTAATATACATAACTGTAGTAACACAAGTATGGAATGTGAGGTGTGCATAAATCAGTTAAAGATGATGGTTTTTGTTCTATGTTTGAGCAGGCAAAAGGCATCTGCCAAGTTTATAAGTCTGTTTGGACCGTATATCCAACCTGTAATACAATGCCCTATGAGAGGATGGTGTGTAGTAATAAGTCAGGAAACTGTAGCCAACAAGATTCATCAAGTCTCATCCAGTCTCAGAGCTGCTCCCATGTAAATAGAAGTCAGCATGAGGAATTGTTTGATTTGAAATTGAACTAATCAGCTTAATGCTTGTATTATATTCTCCAGGGTCTTTTTTTTCCCCTTCTTCTTCTTTTGCCTTTTCATGAGAACTCGAACCAATCTTTCTATAAAGACGTGGCGCACACACTGGCTTTTCTGCCTGAGCGCCCAGGTCCTGCTCATGTCTGTATCCCTGATAACCTAGCAACAGGATGATGCCGCAGTAGAGGCTCCATAAAAGTTTGCTTTTCTGGCTTGATAAATGCCCTTGTGTTCACTGTCTTATATAAACTCGGTTAGGGCTTATATTGGTTTATCTAGCATGTTCCCCATTTTTGACTTGCAATCTGTAAGATTTGCTGAAAAGTTGATTGGTAATCTCATAAAATTTAAGATTCATGTTTATGGATCACATAGCCAGATTGTCAAGAACATACAGTGCAATATAAACACGCAACTCTTGCACAACCCTTTTCCCCACTTGGGCTTTTTTTGAACCGGGTTCAAATCTAAACTGAGCAAGGCCACACAGGGCGATAAAGTAAAACATTGTACGGTTGGAATGTACGGAAGCCCCTGAGCTGGGGGAGATGGGCAAGGGAGGGGGTGATTTTAAAGAACCTGTTTCTTATTTCCAATCACCTGGCAAGGCCGTCTAAGAAGACACACTGAACAAATGTGCTGTGCAAGCCACACACATTGTCTAGACAGAAAAACAACTTCAAACATCTCACAGTGCTTTGGAAATTATTTTCTGGATATGTCAACATACTCCCTCAAGGAAAAAGCAGTTGCCTAGATTTTTGGACTCTTCTCGTGTTCAGATTTCTGAAAAATGAAAATAACAAGATCCTCAAATAATTATTTGGATGTGCACCACAGTTTTAAAGACGGTTTCCTGGAAGTTTTGCTCCACAAAATTCAGCAGATTTAATTTCATGGGGAGGTGCTGTGTGCATGAGGCAGGAGGGAAGAAGAGAGCCCAGGAGGAGGGCAAAGCCGCTCAGCAGAAAGAAGGGAGGACCAGGGAAATGCTGGGTTCTGAGAACGGCATAGTGCCGTGTTTGCAAACGTTGACTTACTGTGGCTCATGGTGCCCAGATTAGTACAACCGCAATCGCAGAGGCTCTGCCATCATTTTCAGATGGACATGGCACCCTCTACATGACCAGAAGGGAAGATACCCACAGTTAGTCTTTCCCAGTGCTGGTGAACCCGAGTGGGGCAGGCCACCATTGCTAGTGTCTCTGACTCTTTATTTATTCCTATGCTTGGAAAACTCCTGCAGGATCTGGACTGTCATGAAGAGCAAGGGAAGCTTGGAACACTGAGCCCTAAAAGGGATGTCTCCGTCAAATCCCTCCTCTCAGGGCTCAGGGAAACCCACAGAAGAGTAGAAGAAATAGTCAAGAGTCAGGGGTGATGGAGGATGCTGGGAAAACAAGGCCCACTAAATTGACACGATGAAAACCCTGGGGAACTCATAGGGACTGAGGCAGCGTGCACAGAGCCTGCACGGTCTGCTCCAGGTCCTCTGCACTTCTATTGTGGCTTCCAGTTTAGTGCTGACTGTGCAAACCAGAGGGTCTCTGATTCCTGTGCCTTCTCTTGGGCTCTTGTGTCGGTTTTTTTTTTTTTTGTCCAGTTCTGATGTATTAGTTTTTGTTTTATCTTTTTTATTTTATTTTATTTTATTTTATTATTATCCCTTAGAAGCCTACTTGTTTTTCTCATGAGACACAGAAAGGAAGTGGATCTGGATGGGAGGGGAGGTGGAGAGGAACTGGGAGGAGTAGCTGGAAGGGAAACGGCCGTCAAGATAAACTATGTGAGAAAAAAAAAATCTATTTTCAATAAAAAGGAAGAAAGGTGTGGGGGAAGGACAATCTTGCCAGCTTTAAAAAATGGACCGGGACACAGTTTTGTCACTAGAACTCATTCAGGATCTCATTTTTATCAATGATTAATTGTGAATGAACACCCACACTTACAGGAGGTGTTGCTGGCCAAACACTTAGGAAGCCTCGTGGGCTTCCGTGTGTCCTGTGTCCCGAAGCTTCACCTTATTCTTTCTGTTTTACAGATGACGGACGTGCAACCAGTGCCTGCCAGCTGGTACACGAAGAGAAGGGATTTGGAGTGACAGCTGCCTGTCTCAGACTAGACTCAGCACGCACAACATACTATACAGGGCTTACCTGGAGCAACTGGCACGGGGAACCTAGTCTACCAGGTCCTTAAATGATCCTTCAGCTGTAGCCCGTGGCTTGATGTTGGCCAGTGATTTTAGCCAGCAGATAGAGGGAGCTGGAGGTGTGGGCTGGCTTTGACATCAGCATGTTGAAACTGGAAACTCCACCCCAGCTCTGATACCATCATGGTGAAGTCAGCTTGGCACGGCCCCTACTTTCCAACGCCACAGTATTGTGGTCTAGCAACAAGCCGGGCACCATCACAGACTTTGAGACCTGAGTGTGCATGCGTGTGTGCTCGTGTAGGTAGCAGCTGAGCAGAAAGCATGTGTGAGAAGTAGGCACTCCCTGGATAGCCCCACAAGACAAAGGAAATTATGTAGTTAGCTGCTTTGGACTGAGGATGGTAATTCTAACAATATCCAACCAGATCGCTCTTGGTCATTTCGGCAAGAGAGAAGAGAGTGGTAAAATTACTTCACAACTTTTCAAACATCCCCATATCTAGTTTTTTACGAGTTTCTCACTGAATGCGTTGAGCCATCTTGGTACAGGCAGGTGTGTATCTACACCCACGCTGACTCCTGCTCATTTGTTCCCTTCTCCTTTATGAAATCATTTAGCACCCAGTGTCAGTGATGAAATCATTTAGCACCCAGTGTCAGCGCAGCGGAGGCTAGCACACTCCATCTCTGTGAGGCTCTCAGATCCCTGCCTCTCTCCTTGCCTACGCCTTGTTCAACACCACAGGGGTGGGGTGGGGGTGGGGACACTGCTGCCTGAGCTCCCCTGCAGACTGCCTTTCAGCAGGGTGAGGAGAGGAGATGTGGGAAAGCATTCTGTGTTTTCCCAACCTAACTGGTATTTTCTTTGCAGGGGCCAAAGAAGCCACTGGCTAGGACCGTCATGACAGGATGTGGCACACATGTTGTGTGAATATCCACTGGCTAAGACACGCCCACAAGTCTTTGTATATATTACTAAGCACTCTATTCCGGGAGGAGCCATTAAAGAGAGAGCCTTGCTGTGGCCAGAGTCATTGGCTGGCTCACAGGTGAGCTGCAGCCCTTGGACAAAGCTTTTCACCATGCCTCCTCTTCCTGTTAGGCTCAGAGCTGGAGGAGGCTGTTGACTCCCCTTGCTGGATTCCCAGAGCAGCCCCCTCAGCGAGCTCAGCTGTGTCTACTCAGCATCAGAGAAGAAAGGGGTGGGAGAGAAAGGGGGGAGCAGGCATGAGGACCACAGGGGAGGGCAGCAGGAGCTTCCATTCATTTTCACTCCTCTTCTTAGATCAGGATCTTATCGTGCACTTGTATTTTAAAATTCAAGTGTAGTGTCCATTTTTGCCTCTGTCTCGCTTGACACCCCATCAATATTATAGGCTAGTTGGAGGTTATTACCCAGCAGCCCCCTTGTAGTATCAATCAAAGAAGATCAAATAGATAGTCTATCTGGCTCCTTACAAAGTGGTACCTTTGGGTATCACAGTGATTCGGTTTCAAAGGATGGGCAAAACTGGATGCCTTAGCAGGCTTGGAAATTCTATTCAGGCATTTCTCTTTCAGCAGCATGGAAACACCAAATCTGGTGATAAACTGAAGCTAAAGCAGTTACAGAGGTCGTTCTCCCCACCCTCCTGATTCTCCTCTTTAAGGACGTTTCTGACTGTAGATCTGACCGTAGAGCAGAGGATGTCGGTAGATAGCATTCCGCAAACACAAGGCTTGTGCTTAAGGAGTTGAAAGCTGTAGATGCTGGTTTTTGGCGGCGTCTGTGCAGCACGCAGCAGAGGCCCATTTCTACCGACCCAGGTGTCTCGTATGCTGCTATTGCCCCCTTTCTCTCTCTCTGGATTCAGCTCTCCCCGGGTTCTCTTCTTTTCATGCTAGACAGGTAAATTCAGAGAACACATAAAGCTACTTTTCTCCCCAAAACCATTTTCTGCTTTGGAGCTAGGGCTCTGAGACTCTGCCTGGAAGCGAAGCTCTCTCTAATTGGAACTGCTTCCAGAACCGCTTCCAAATTAGCGGCAGGTGTGTTCTGAAGTCAGTTTTACCAAGTGAATTGCAACACTGAGCTGTTTGGACTATCGGTGATTCCACCCATGTTGCCATTCCTTCAACAATCAAGTACTAAATAATGACTACCTAGATTTTTCCCAGAAAAATGGAGAGTTCCTGGACGTTCACAGAGTCCAAAAACAATTCAAATAACATCAGTGTTCTTACCCTACAAACAAAAGTTCGCTTTTAATATTTGCCGAGAGAGAGAGAGAGAGAGAGAGAGAGAGAGAGAGAGAGAGAGAGAGAGAAGGAGGAGAAGGTTAGAGATTAAGAAAGGCTTGGACAGTCCTCTGCGTACAGCGGCGGAGTTTGATCTGGGAGGGTGCTGGGGAACGGTCCTGATCTTCCAAGTTCCCATGAGCCTCTGGGACTTCAGAGTCAGGAGTACGAGCCATGCTGGTATGCTTGTTAAATCTGATGGTAGTTCCTTCATACCAGTGTCTTGTTATACCAACCCCAGAGGTCAAGGGGCAGCGTGGGCTAGTCTGCAGTGTCTGACCTCTTCCTCAAACACAGAAAGCTTCTTAAACGTGAGGATCTGGGGGTGGGCAAAGGAGAACAGACTGAAACACATCTGAGTGGAAGATTAGGTTTCCCAAAAGGTTCCCAGAGCTTTGGGCCATGGAAATGAGGAGTGTTGGAGAGAGGGTAGGACAAGGAGACAAGGCTGCCGGATTTAGAGCCCAATCATATTTTCTGAGGATATAACTGCCTTAAGATACCTCTTCTATTGGAGGAAATCTGATCATCCATGTAGCAAGGATGTGTGCGGCCAGGTCACAAGCTGGCATCTCATGCTTTTCCTGGTCCTCGGATGCAGCAGAGAAAGCATTACCCCCAGCCAGGCACATTGCAGCAGGTAGAGAATGTCGGCAGCATGAGCCAAGGTCCACATTAAAGGACGGAGGGACTGGGGGAGTGTGGGAGCCGGCACAGGAGGTACAGGCAGACACCTGTCCGTACTCCTGTCCATACACATGTCCATAGAGGAGAGAGCAACCCAGAGAAAGAACAAAGAGATGGACAACTGTCCCTCCATCCTGTCCCTCTGCAAGCTATGACCACACCCGCTTGTCTCCACTGCACAGTTTCATCCCTCTGCTTCAGCTGAGAAATTAAGGCTCCTCATGGAGTCTCCGAGTTCCGGGGCTACCTCAGCTGCTCCCTTAGGCTCTCGATTTGTGGCCATCTAAATGCCTCTCCCTGCTGACGGTTTCGTCATTCCCACGCGTATAAAAAGACTCCTGGGGAGAATTAATCCTGCCTCCTCTCGTCGGTGGAATTTGTATTTACTGTGTTACCTCCACGTTGGCTTTTCTGTGTCAAAAATAACTTGTTAGTTTTCCTCCCCGACCTGTGTTTAGCTTGGAAAGACTTGTAGATTTTGCATTTCAGCTCTTTCTGTTAGATGTTCAAGAATGACGAAACATTTGCTCTTCTTAAACCAGCCAGCTTTTCCATCTTATGATGGCATGGTTCATAGTTTGTTTAACCCAAGTTCTCATGGAAAGACATTTTGACAGTCCTGTTTTGTGAGAGGTAAAAGCGAAAAACATCTTTAGGAGATGTTTTTTCTGTTTCTCCATCACCCTGGCTCCCTACACATAGCCAATGCTTGCCGTCCACATAAAAACCACATTTTAAAAGAACAAACAAGTTATTGTTGATGATGTCTGGCTGACTGACCATATGATCATGCTCCAGCCGTCACAACAGGCCCCGGAACCTTCAGTGAGCCTGAATGCGGCGGCTTCAGAGTCCATGCTGGCCCTCCGTCCCCTCACATCGCTTCTTTGTTCCTTTGTGCTCAGAGCACCTTTCAGCTCTGTCTCTAAAGTCCTAATAAATGGCCGAGGGTACTTTTTACAACATGCCCAGTGTTATTTCACAATGTTTCACGAGCCACAATCCTCAAGTCACCGTTAAGAAATCCAGATGCCTGGCTGCGGTGTTGTTGCAGCTGTTTTGTGGGAAATCATGAGAGTGCACCTCGTTTGGACAGAAAGAGACCATATCTCACCCCTACAGATTCACAGCGGACGGCTCCTCCAAGACAGTGCTAACAGCAGTACTCTCACTGTGGTCCTGAATTCAGATACTCTGTGTGTCTTGTAATTTGTCGAATGCTTTGGTTTCCCTGGAAGGGCAGATTCTATTCTGGGGTGGCTATGGCATGCTCTGAAGCTACCTTTTCTTTCCTATAGACGCAGTATGAACTGGCCTGAAGGAAATTCTCTTCAATGCACTTTTTATTGGCGAGGTTTATGAGATGGATTCACACACTGTTTGGTGTGGTCAGCACCCCTTGAAGGCAGTCATAATGTTGGACCCAGAGTTTAATGCCTGGACCCCGCCGCCCCCCAGAGTGCCAAGGATGCCAGGATGCTGCAGTCCTTCGATAATAAAGTGGAGAAGTAGCATGGGACCTGCACACATGGCTCTGAACACTCTGAGGACCATTTCTATTTCCTAATCAGGTAAGTGGTTGTGCAATTAGCTACTCAGGAAATAATCAACAAAAGTTTGTTCCTACTTTTTGGTGCAGATGAGATTTTACTTCTTAAAAACTTTCCAAATAACAGCGGTTGAATCCCCAGGCGTGGAACCCACAGGCACAGGTGGTAACAGTTCAAACTAATAACAAAGCAACAACCTCCTGTCTTAGGCTCACATTCTTCTTTTAAATATTTCTCCATTTTAGAAAGTCACATTCGTCAGGATATTTTATCTTTTTACCGATGACAAAACACAGTTTTGACAATCAACAGTCACACCCTGTGAATTCTGTAAGCGAAGCGTTACCTTTGCGTTTGCTGTGGTTACACTGCCCCCTGAGGTCCCTGTCCGTGGACCATAAGCAGTGACACCTTAGGAAGACAGTGGGAAGCTTGAAGAGATGGACAAAGTGAGCAGTCTTCTGACCCTGACAAGGTAACTCTGAGGGGATACTGAGGCCCGGTCCCCACTCTCTTCTCCCAGGTGAATGGCTCTGCTACCCTGCTGTCTCTCTCTCCACAGGTGCAGATGGGGAGGGGCTCTGTACCACAGACTGAGCCCTGCAACACTGTGAGACGAAAACCCTTTCTTTCTATGAACTTGTGTTTAGCAAATACCTGTCTCCACGACTTGTCTCCACTGTGGGGTGGGGTGGAGTTACAACATTTCTTGTGGCCATTCCTTCTGATAAAACTAGTAAGAAATGTTGGAAACGGAGACTTTGGAGACTTTTACAATAGCTCACATTGCTAGGCTCTTGACTGAGAAGTCAAGGTGAGAATGACTTCAACGTTAGAGTAATGAAAACGGCATTCCAGAGAGGGAGAAACTGTTTCAAGATGTTGGTGACATCATCTAAAGTCAGCAGAGTCTTAAATCTTTCTAGTTGAGGTGGCTAAGGCCAGGTTTCCAGAACTCCATCAGTGCTGATAATTCCTTCATTCGATTAAAAGTCAAGCCAGAGGGCTGGAAACATGTCTCAGGGGCCAGAGTACTCGCTTAGCAAGTTCAACGTGCTGGGCTGGATCGCCAGCAGAACGACATACATGGAATGTAGTGGTGTGGGCCTGTCACCCCAGCACTAGAGGGGCGGGGAAGGAGGGTGACTGAAAGGCAAGGTTACCCAGGACTACTTAGCAAGTTGGAGGCCAGCCTGGGATGAATGAGACCCTGACTCAACAATCAAACAAGTAAACAAAATAAGTCTTTCCTCATTCTGCCATTTGTTGCCCACTTCTGCTGTTTAAACCTGGGTTTATGGACCTCAGGATGGCTTCAAATGGGAATGGTTTATCAGCCCGCACCCCCACAAGGTTATTTAATAAAGCTGTAGGAATAGTAGCTCGCATCCACCTTGTAAAGATTACTGTCTGGATAAAGTCGACAGGCAGAATGGGGATTTCGATGTCACGAGGCAGTGCTCTGAGGTGGGGCAGAACCCAGGCAAGCTGGGAGCACTCATGTAAGGTAGAATTATACAGCGCTTGGAGGAGCTGCGGAAGTTGGGAAGAGCGTTGGGATACGGTGGGGCAGTGTCTCTTTAACTTAAAGGAAGAATGGTGGGTTCTGGGAAGAGGTGCTACAGCAAGGCATGATGGGAGCAGGGAAGCAGGGGCCCTGCTCTACCTAGGAGATGCAGTTAATTTCCTACAGAGCCAGGTCCCAGGAGTGTTTGCGATAGGGGACAAGCCAAACTGTGAGTGCTGTAAGATGCTCTAAAGCAAAGCCTTAGGCCCCGTGGGAGCCACATCCAACAGGTTCGGAACATGTGGCTCCAATCCCACTGTCATTTTATAACAATTTTCGGCACTACCCATGATGCAGTTCTTCCCATAAGCGACACGTTCTGTCCCACAGTGGATGACTTGTGAAATCCTTTGTTCTTTTCATTTAAAGATGTTGCAATTATCAGATCTTTGATTGTAGTCACAGGATTAATTCCTTCATGTGAACAGCCAGCTCTCCACACCTGCAGGTTCAGATTCAATCCAGGTTCCATCCAGCTGTGGCTTGAAACAGTTCTAAAAGGTTAATACTGTGGACTAGGCCAGGGAGAAGCTGTGGAACTGTTAGCCTGATGTGTGCAGTGGAAAGATCAACAGAGGCTTGGTCTCAAAATAAGGGAAGATGAGAGCTGACGCACAAGCTAGTCCTCTGACCTCCACACGTGTGCCGTGGCGGGCACATATACGTGCAGGGGCTTTGGTACATGCACACTGGCGCGCGCGCGCGCGCACACACACACACACACACACACACACACACACACACACACGCCTCAGAGGATGTTTGGGCTAAACATAGACTACTTCCTGTCATCATTCTCTACAATAGTTTATTGCTGTTTCTGCATTTGCATTATTTTAGGCATTGTAAATAGTTCAGAGATGCTTCAAAGTATACAGGAGGTGGTGCCAGTCGGGCTAGCCCAAACAGTATGCTACAGACTGACCAATGAGAGACCCTGTTCCAAAAGAGCCAGCTGGAGAGAGATCAAGAGGGATGACTGATATTGACCCTCTGGTGCCCACATGCACTCCTCCATGTGCCTGTGTACACACATGTACAACACACACACACACACACACACACACGCTGCTGGGGTATAATTCATATAATAAAGCCTGGGACCTTCAGGGCATCATTGCTCAGGTGTTTGCCCTTGTGCTGTCCAGGAGTGGAAGACTTTGACCGTGTCACTGAGAAACTATATAGAAGATAAAACAGATTCCTTTAGAAATATTTATTTCATTTTCATTTTATGTGTATGAGTCTTTTCTGTGAACCATTTATATCCGTGAACCACTTTTGTACCGAGAGGCTGAGGAGGCCAAAGGAGGGTGTCGGGTCTCCTGGGACTGGAGTCACAGGTGGTTGTGACACAGGCTCCTCTAGAAGAGCAGCCAGTGCTCCTAATTGCTGAGTCATCCTCTTGGTCCCTATGAAATAAACTCAATCAACTGGGCTTAGCTGAAACTGTTCCGAGCTGCTCTCTCTTGACCTCTCGAAGCACACAGCATTATTACAAAGTACACGTGTTCTCATAACCTAGACACCTAGGTAGAATGCTGTTTAAACCTGTGGTTATTTGAATAAGAATGACCTCTGTAGGTTCATATATTTGAGTGCTTAGTCATCAAGGAGTGGCACTATTTAAGAAGGGTTAGGAGGAGTAGGAAGTGTGGCCTTGCTTGAGGAAGTGTGTCCCTGGAGGTGGGCCCAGTCCTTCTCTTGGCCTGAGACTTGGAACACAGTTCTCAGCTACTGCTTCAGCACAGTGAGTGCCGCCATGCCCCCCATCATGGTGATAACGGACTAAACTTCTGAAACTGTAAGCAAGCCCCAAATGAAATGTTTCCTTTTTATAAGAGTTGCCTTGGTTACGGTGTCCGTACTGGCTGGTTCTGTGTCAACCTGACACAAGTTAGAGTCATCAGAGAGGAAGGAGCCTCAGTTGAGGAAAGGCCTCCATGAGATTCAGCTGTAAGGCATTTTCTCATTTAGTGATCAACGGGGGAGGGCCCAGCTTATGGTGGGTGGTGCCATCATCACCTTGTGGCCCTGGGTTCTAGAATAAGCCCGGGGAAGCCAGCCTGGAAGCAGCTCTCCTCCATGGTCTCTTTCTGTGGGATATTTGTTAAGATGTGTGGCTCCGATTGGTGTAATAAAGAGCTGAATGGCCAATAGCTAGGCGGGATTTCCGGGAAGAGAGAGAACTGTGGGAAAAGAGAGGTGGGGAGATTCTGACAGACTCAGAGCAGGCTGTGTGTGCCATCCTGAGGAAAGGTAAAAGCCACGTGGCAGAGCATAGATTAATAAAAGCCCGCTAATTTGAGTTACATGAAGTAGTTGGGAATAATTCTAAGCTAAAGGCCAAGCTTTCATAATTAGTAATAATTCTCCATGCCATTATCTGTGGGCTAGCGGTCCTGATGAGAAAGTCCAACTACAGCCTGTGCTTCTGGGTTCCAGCCCTGCTTGAGTTCCTGTTCTGACCTCCTTCAATGGTGGACTTTGATCTGGAAGTGTAAGCCAAATAAACCCTTTCCTCCCCGGCTTGCTTTTTGGTCATGGCATTTATCACAGCCATAGAAACCCTAACGAATGTGGTGCAGTAGAACAGAGACTAATATAAAATGTAAGACAAGATTACAGAAAGGGGGGGGAAAGCCTTTCTGATTAAGAGAGATCCTCCACAAATATAAGGGGAATAACATCTCTCTGTCCAGAGACCAGCTCTGGGGCGCACTGTGAGAAGCAGACTGAAATTTGAGAAATTACTGGAAAGTCACTGTCAGTGCAGACAGGCAAAGGCAAGGCTGACATTTCCAGCTCGGCTCTGGCTCCAGCTCCATCCTGAACATCCAGATGACTGTGTCCTACAGTTGGTGGGGACCATGGCTCACACAACGGTCACAGTTCCCATTGCAGAACTGGCGCCAGTCAGCTTTAGTGTGTTAGGGAAGAGGTCCTACTTTCCATGTGTGTTTAAACAGCATAGACACATAAGATTAAAAAAACAGAAGCTCTGACTATGTAATGTGATGCTAAGCCTTCGCAAAATAGGCAGAGATCCAAATATTTCTCTCTGCTAAAAGAGTTTAAAATAGGTTTACAGGGGAACCTTGGCTGGAGAAGCTACCACAGAGGACTGGTGGGCTAAAGAGTTTGATCTGAGGATGGTCTGTGTTTCTGAGAGGAAACCACAAGGGGCTGCTAGGACTGGCGGACATCTGAAGGGAGGGCTGGACCTGCGAGCAAATTCTCCGGCTGAGACCAACTGTGTGTATGGGATGGGGTGGGGTCAGGGATCTTGTTGTGTGTGCACAGGGTGGAGTCGGGAAGGGCTCTTGTGTGTGCACAGGGTGGGGTGAGGTGGGGAAGGGCTCTTGTGTGTGCACAGGGTGGGGTGGGGTGGGGAAGGGCTCTTGTGTGTGCACAGGGTAGGGTGGGGTGGGGAAGGGCTCTTGTGTGTCCACAGGGTGGGGTGGGGCCATGGTTCCAGCTTCCTTCTTGGCAATTGTCTGGAGCTACCCTCAACTTCCAAAGTCTCTGCCACTTTTTGTAGATGTCCTTACAGCTCAGAAGCAGGAACACTGCGACAGTTTCTACCAGGCACACCTCTTGTACCCCTAGTTTTCTTGCTGTTCCTTCATCTCCCCTCCTCCTCTGCTCTTTAGGACCCTGTGACTACAGAGAATTCAGCCTCTCAATCCAGGGATACCTCATTATTTCAAGATCATATGATTATCAGCCTTCATCATATATTACAAACACAGGCACGGCCCACAGGGGTGAAGTTCATGGGACCCCCCCCCCAGCCTGTGTCCTTGTGATGTCCTGAGATGGGGTGGTGGGCTTCTCAAACTACACTTTCATTGAACACCTTCTAGACACTCAGTACTCACAAAGTTTCTCCATCAGAGCATACTGGAGCAGGTTCCCGGTGCAGTTCTTAGCTGTCTGCATCCCCTGCAACAAATTACCTCAAACACCGTGGCTTAGAACAACAACCAGAGCCTCTTGCTAGGTTGGAAGCTGGCGTGACTCTTTGTCTGGTCAAGGCGCAAGCACAGTGTGTTCATCTTGACTGGCAGATGGGGCATGGGGTGCCCATGTGAGACAGGTTTGCTTCATCCATTCTGGAAAAGACCAAGGCATCTCCTGACTCAAAGCCCTGCATTGTGTGGCCAGAGAAACTCCCAAGTCCTGGTCCGGTACAGATATTTAAACTGATGTCCCATGTCCCAGACTCAAGAGTTAGATTGTCCGTGTCCTAATAGGTTCATTGACTGATTCTGGAAGCAGAGGCTCACTGTGTACACACCAGGTTGGTCTGGAACTTGCTATTTAGCTTAGCTTGGCCTTGAACTCCTGTTTCCAAGGGCTGGGATCTGAGGCTTATATCTGCGTACCTCACCGCACTTTTTGGTGCATGTTTGTGGAGTCCAGTTTGATAACTCAATGTATGTGTACAGTGTGTAATGATCAAACCAAAGTAATTAGCACTACTGTGTCATGCACATCACTTCTCCATGCTGGGGAATTTCACACTTTTGTGGTTATTTAGGAACACACTTAGATGTTTGGCTTGCAGTTGAATTGGAGGCAAATATTCAAAACTCTCACCCGAGCGTCACAATCCATAACTAGCCAGGATTGTTCCTCAGGGTGTGGAAGGGTGAGTGTCCCTTTAGATAGGACAAGTTCCCTCTGGCTGTTGCTATCTCACGTCTCACACCTTTGCGCACTCTAGTATCGGGCCCCACCCGAGTTTGCAGTTCCCAAGACGCGGCCTGTGTCTAGAGGACTTTCCAGTCTGCTGTAATTACAGGGAGGAACGGAACGCCATCTAACAATTTTCAACACTTTATCAGATGCGGTAGCAAAGAGTGCCTTTAATAATTTTAGGGGTAGGATTCTCAGAGATGAAATAGTGTGGCCAGGTCCCCCAGTTCTTCGAGATTCTTCTAGGCCGTACCAAGACTCGCTGGCTTTGGTGTCCAGCGGGGAATTTCCAGGCCTGTTTAATGGCTGCAGTTCTGATCAGCCAGATCTCTGCTTGCAGAGGAACTTATCTAGATCTCACTTCAACAGATAAGCAGAGGAGCTTCAAACGGTTTATAAATCAGGCTGGAACGCAGCCAGCACACTAGCCGCTGAGCTCCAACAGAACAAAAGCAGTCCAGCCTTCTGCAGTGTTAGCCTGGGTGCAGAGCCAGGCTGGAGAACTGCCTCCCCTCTTACCAGATTAACAACACTCTGGCCTCACATCAGCTTCCCCCAAGTCCACGTTGCAAGTCACTCTCCAGGATCCCATTGTGCTAGGCTCGAGTTTATTTCATTGCTGGAAAAGCAATCCCTTGCTCATGTATGCTAGGATGGTCTCCACAGAGAAGAGATGGAGGATCTAGATACGGACCTAAGAGAGGAGTCAGCTCACAAAAGCTACAGTGTCTGGTGCAGTGAGGCAGGAATGCACCTTCTCCATCCCAGCCGGGGTGTCTCAGAGCACAGTGTAGTGGCTCATCAGTCATAGATGGGCAGAGGGAGGGCCTCAGGGCTCTTGACACAGCCCTCTGTAGGCGTGATGGATGTGGAGAAACCCTACCCTTCCCAGGGGGTCAGGTGGCACCAGTCAGACAAAGAGGGCAAACAATTCCAGCTTGAAAAAGAACTCCCCTTTCCACCTCCCTCCCTCCTTCCCTCTCTTTTCCCCTCCCTCCCTCTCCCTCCTTCTCTCTCCCCCTCTCTCTGCCAAAAAGTTACAGTATCCAGCCGTTCCTTATTAAGTTAGAAGTCTGTGCAAAAAAAAAAAAAAAAAAAAGTGGGGGGGTGAGGAAGAAGCAACAGGGCTTGTGTGCAGAAATACAGAAATATTCATTGGGGAGACACAGCTGTTTCCATGGTACAGGCATGCCTGGAGAAGTAAGTAAATGACATTCCTATCTGCTGCAGAGTCAAAAACCAGCTGCTCTCCGGATTTCAGAGGGAGATGCTATCCCAGACTGTGGTCATCCCAGGCTTCCCAAGGCTTTTCCTGCAGCGGCTGTGGATGAAAACAAGAGCGAGCAAGGGGAGGTGGACAAATGGAATGTGTATGAGTACTGTGTGCTGGCTGCTGGAGAGGGCTTTTCTTCGTTGGTTCCTTGACTTTTGACATCTGTGGGAAGTGGTCCTAATTGGATCTGGATTAATTTGAGCCTTTGATAAAATAACATAACGCCATTCCTACCTCTTCCTCTCTCCAATCCTGACCCCAAGAAGTTTTAGAAATGTCTATATATTTGCTTAGTCTCCAGACACCGAGGGCAACCATGTTCCTCAGCCACAGTGCAGAAGTCTGACCTGCGGCATTCGGCGATGTGTCTGTGCTGCCGAGTGTTTTGAGGCCTCTCAGGTTTCCACTCATCTCCACTCACAGGCTGGACCCAGAGGCCTTGGAGCAGTCTGCTTCTCAGTTTTGATCTGGTGGTCCGGACAAGAATCCAGGGCAAGACAAGATGGCCGCCCGTGCCTAGCCCACACTGCCAGGGTGCTGACTTTCCCTCAGTGGACCAACTTGGAGGGCACATCTCGAACCAACAAGGAGTACAGAGAAGAGCCAGCCCTTGGTAGCTGACAGGAAGTGCAAAGTTGTAATGTCAAACCAAAGTTCCCAACCTGTGAAGCTTTCTCGGCCCACAACACTTCATCTTTAGTCCTGAGAGAACTTTGAGAAGGTACTTAGCTGTTTGCTTTTTAAATCTTATCCTTCCTGTCCCGCCTGGTCACAGAGAGCTGCGTGCAGTAGGAAGGGCTTGGCTGTTGTAATGATCAATGCTCAACTCAAAATCAACCACCTTCATACCCAGAAGGTAGTTCTCTGGCCAACCATGAAGGACAGAAGGCGATGATATCGCAGAGTCTAGAAGACCTGTTCACCCTGTAGCATGGGTGTGCAGCTCGGGGGACTTCAGACACGTGACTCCTTTTCAGTAGGAATTGGGACTGTGTTACGTTGTGGTAGGGGTCAGACTTGTCTCCGAGAGACCAGGTTCAGGGGTAGTGGGAAAGTTAATCCAGTCTGAACACGCAGACTGCCCCACTTAGACAAGTGCAGCAATTCTGGGTACCTATGGGTCTTCCTGCCTAGAAACCCCTCGCTTAATTTTGGATCTTGCAGCCCATGGTTTTTGGTGGTAAGTGCTGATTTCAAACACTAAATCTTTTGTACTGTCACCTAAAAGGGCAGAGCAGGAGCATGGAAAGGCACAGTCTGCAGAATGGCTGGGCTGTCTCACTGTGATGTGTAGGTCTTACCGGATGTCTTTCTGGGCCACACTCTCTAGTAAGTGGTGCTAAATCTTACAGAGTGGAAATAACACAGTGCCTTAGCCTATCATGAGAATCTGGAAAATAACTTTCTTCTCTTCACCTTTTTTCCTCTTTATTTCTTTTTTTTTCTGGAATGTCCTCATCTCTGATCTTAAAGAATTTACTCTATTTTTTTCATCCCTAGTCTTTTATTATTGTTTGCTTTTTGGAGGTAGTATCACGGATGCCGTCTTTGTCCCGCTCGTGAGCCAAACACAGAATGCCGATGGCCCTGCTTAATCTCTTCCATCTATGAGCTGGTGACGATACTTGTGATCCGTTCGTAAATGCCACGCAGCTACTCAGTGCCTCGCTTGTTCTCATTTTGAGGATTTAGATCCAGAGCCTTGTGAGCATTAAATGGGCATTCATGCACGAAGCTCCTGCTCCAGCCTTCAGCATCATCCTCTCTGCGCAGATAACCCAGATATCGTGTCCAGGTAGCTAGCAGAGGTCCCGCAATCTCAGCAATCCTAGCCCAGTCCATGATGATAATGATGATGATGATACTACTAATAATAATGTTTTTCTTCATTACTGGTTGCCCTAATGTGTGCACAATTATGAACTCTAGAAATGGAGACAGACGATGTAAGAGGAAAAAGGTTTTGGCCCTTGCTTTGCTGGGCACAGCACCTGGAGAGTTTGCAGCTGTCCTGCGTCTATGAGGTGATGCATACAAGAATGGAAACCGGTGTGCTAATGACGGCGGGGGGTGGGGGATGCTGGGAAAGAGCCTGGGCCTTGTGTGACATCGCAGGATTGTTGAACGAGACCTTGGCCATTCCCTCTCATGTTCTTCTCTATGAAACAGTACATGTCTCTTAGCTGTAGCTGAAGGACCTCTGCTTCTAGAACCTCGTGAAGATTTGCAAATGACACCCGCAGAGAACCCAGCTAGCACTTGCCATCTAGCATGCATCAGGAGTTCTCGATCGTCCATGGCAAGGAAGAAAATAAGGGCTCACACCGGGACCCTTAGCTCCCACCCGGAGGGTGCAAGGTTATCATCTTAAGGTGGCGAAATGCTGCTAAATGGGAAACCGCAGTGAACAGGCCATTCTACGGGCACAGCTGGATCTTCTGCCTCCTTCCCTGGCTGCGCGCGCGTTCGTCAGCTTTTCTTTTCCTTTGACTAAATTGCTGGAGTTTCAATCTTTCCCTGGACAAGGACAGCGAGACAGAGGCTGTACTTGAGTCAGTGGTGTGTGCAGATGAACTGTCTACAGGGTGAAAGACTGAGAGCTGAGCCACGAGCCAGCCTGGTTCCTTCAGATGCAGTCGACGCTTACGGCCTGATGCTGGGTCATACACACCATTCTTATGAACATGGGGCTCAGAGAACCCAGCAGAGAAGATGTGGGCATGAGCATGTGTGAAAAGCTCTTGCTGTCACCCAACAGTGTGGTGTTGGGAATGACCAGCCCTGAACAACACAGGGATCGCTAGCAACAATGGCTTCAGTGACTACATCCCATGTCCCAAGCTCTGCCCCAAGTGTTTTGGATATGTTGTTTCCTCTAATCTTCATCTATTTCCTTATCTACCTCTTTATAGCTGAGCTCTAGTGGTATTGTCCAAGCTGGCCCTAACTAACCTCTTAGCTCCTAGACCTCCTTCTCGCTCAGCCTCCCTGGAGCTGTGACTTCAGGTCCACACTGTGGTGGTTTTCGTTACAGTTCTGTGCGGTCAGTGCCACTGTCACAGCTAATTTGGAGATAATCCCATTGAGACCCAAATGCGCAGTGTGGGGAATAGCTGGAATTTACATCTGAATCCTTCTAAATACAAACTCATCATCATAACTAAGTCACTGAAGAGATTTGAGCTTGAAAGGAGGAAACAAAAATGGAATGAAGAGAGCAGGGAAGAGGAAGAGGAAGAGGAAGAGGAAGAGGAAGAGGAAGAAGAAGAAGAAGAAGAAGAAGAAGAAGAAGAAGAAGAAGAAGAAGAAGAAGAAGAAGAAGAAGAAGAAGAAGAAGCGCTCAGCAGGAGCCCAGCTTCACGGAAAAGGGCTTCCCAGAAGGACATCAGAGCCACATGGCTCTCAGCTCATTAACTAAGGTGGAAACTGTGGGGAGGATAAAGCAGAAAGCAGCCTGGACTGGCACAGCGCCCCAGAAGAGCTTCAGGTTCCCGTGGGAATGAGACTGGAGGGACCTGGGGGAATGACCAGAACTGTTTATCTGCCGATGTGCTTGACAGTCGCTAATAAGAGGTTGTCTAGGAGCACAAAGGGTTGTGGTTGGGTACATCAGACCAGGGGACATGACATTCAGAGAGGAGAGGCCAAATCACACCTTATTATTATTATTCTAGCACAGAAGAACAGGTGGCTGTCCCAGGTGTGTCAAGCTGACAACCAAGATAGGCAAGGGTTAAAAGCATGGGCTGGAGAAGCGCCTTTCTCCATCGGGCAGCAGTCCGTCCATGCAGGCACCCACAACTGGTCAAAGTGCTGAGAAAGGGATCAACCCTAAATGTACATCTCTATCACCTTCCCTGCCACCAGTGCCAAGGGAGCATCACAGGAGAAGAGGCGTGAGGAATGCAGGAGCTGTATGATGGGGGAGGGCTGTAGAGTGCTCTTCCAGACATGACAGGGCTGTGGCACTTGTGACCTCACAGCAGCAATGATTATCATCACATGACCGACACGAGACCAAGTCAGCCAAAACCCTAGCATAGACGTTTAGATGATCAATAGGCCTGTTCCATGCTGAGGCATGATTGGCGGATGGCAGCTGCAGAAGTGGTGAGAATCTTTAAGAATGTGGTCCCTGGTGGATTTCCCAACACTCATGCCCACTGTGAGCAGCACTAACTGGACTTAGTGGGTTATGAAAATATAAAGTAAGACACTGACTTAGGAGATGGAGGTGTTGGGGAAGTATAGAAGGAAGGAAGGGGGAAATGGAGGCTAGAGCTAATCATATTTCATTGTGTACATATATAATAATCTCAGAGAGTGAAAAATTAACTAAAAAATTAAGAGTGAAGAAACACTGTCCAGGGAGACAAAGGAGGTTAACTAAATGGGACAGGAGTAAGGAAAGGAAGGGTAGCGGCTATGGGTGAATGTGCCCAATACATATGTGCATGACAACTTTAAAAAATAAATACGTTTTCAAAAATGTGAGATGAGGAACCTGACTTTGGAAGGCAATGAAGCTGTGGATCAGATTTCAAATGCTTCATTGTCCCTCTGCAATGAGAGACAGCTTGGGAAAAGAATTTATAGACACTGAGACCATTGTCAGGGACGATGGCCCCAGAGGTTTCCACGAGGGTGAAAATGCCCACTGGAGATCAAAGCGGGCTGTCCTCAGAGCGGCGTCACAGGGCCATCCTCTGAAAAGTGACCCACTGTTGGGCTCAGCTCCCTCTAGGAGGCTGAATTGGAGCCAGCTGGTGTCTGGAACGTAACTCCTGGGTCACTCTCTGGTCTCCGTTTGAAGGCCAACTGCATGTGATTACGGGCGACAGATACAAAGCTTGTGTTAAGTCCAGGACGGAACTTGTTGAATGAATAGCAATTGAGTTGAAAATTGGATGAATGGATTGTGTTTTCTCTCTCTCTCTCTCTCTCTCTCTCTCTCTCTCTCTCTCTCTCTCTCTCTCTCTCTCTCTTTCTCTGACAAGATTGAGTTCTCTGGGCCTTGTCAACTCAATGCTTATATTTCTAAGTGTGTTCTTGAGGGACATCACTTCAGGGTTAATTGGTATTTGAGTAAGATAAAGCTTCTATCAGACATATGTATGATGTAATCAGAACACAAAATCACTGCCAGAAATGCTCCATTTCAGTGTGTGCATTTCCTCCGCAGAGGCCAAACGACCGAGTCTCTTGTTTTGTTTTTAGTTCTGAAGCTCTCGGTGGAGCGTGCCTGCACAATATTAGTATCTGGAGGGAACAACAACTAAACCAGAACAACAAAGACCGACACTGCTGTTTCTGCTCAACAGATCCTAACTTAAGTTGGGTGGGGTGTGGCCTGGGCACTGGGGCTTTTAAAGCATGCAAGGCAACACTAAGGTGCAAAGCCCCAGAACCCACAGCCTACCACAATGAAGCCTCACCAGGGGAGGTGCTGGTGGCAAGTGTGTTTCACACCAACACTTCGCTGAGCGTAAACACACCAGAGCAAACTCTTACACCCACGAACCCAGGGTAGCCTGTGGATGATCTTTGGAAAAATTCAAATTTGTAAACTGATAATATATATAATTCCATGGGCCCCATATGGTTCCTGTTATCTTGAGGAGAACTATACACATTTGCCTTGCCCCGGGCAGAAAGATAAATAACAGATGTGGGTAATTTTTATCATACTTGTGCTGAGAAATAATAGAAAAATAAGGAACGAAGAGGGCAGGGAGCAGAGCAACACTCCTGAAAATGAACCTCAAGTTATTCTAGGTTCTATCCCGCGTTTTCAACAGAGGTCACGGTTTCTAAGGGGGAATATCTCTCCTGTGAAAGCAGGCAGTATTCAACACGCGAGAGCAACACCGTCAACGTAATCCTTTGATAAATGCAGTAACTAAAACCAACATGTACGGTTTCCTAAGCACTATACGTGCTAAATTAATTACCTGGCTACAATCCTAGATTAAATCTACAGTTGTAGCCTACTCCCCCTGTCGGATGAGGAGCCAGACCCAGGGAATGTGGGCAGTTTGTCCAAGGGACGCAATGGTGTGGTAGAGTCTCAGACTGACTTGAAACAGTCCAACTTCAGATGCCGCAGTGAGGCAGCCCAGAGCATCTGATGGTGACCGGTGACAACACCTGAAGAGAGGGGTGACAGGGACATCCAAGCGGAATGTGGGGCCCGGAGAATCTACCGGGAGAATGGTTGCTGATACTCTTGGGGAATTTGGGAAAGATACACCAAGTCTTGACTTATTTTAAATACTCAAATAACACGCTTTAGAGCTTTTACTTTGAAACACACAATGAATGTATATAAGTGTGTGTGCACATACAGATATGTGTATACTCTTTAATTGCTTAATTATTGAACATTCATAAATCTGTGGCAAATACATTGTTGTATTAAGAATCAGGAAACCCATCAGCCAATTCCAGCCTCCTGCTTGTATTATCATTTATAAAGATATGGTAATCAGTCCCATGGGGGGGGGTCACCCAAGGCCTCCATGGGTCTCCTTGACAGGTGGTCTCCCTGGGTGCGAGACAGATACATCATGCCGAGAGAGTTTGGGTATAGAGTTTATTTAGTGGGTTATGGAGGGGAAAAGGAAGGGGGAAGTGAAGGAAGGGAAGAAGGGAGAAAATGAGGGGAGGGGGAAGGGAGTAGTATCTCTTTAGAAGAGGGATGGGAAGAGAGCAGGCAGAAGAGGAGGTAGGAGATCCTTTGCCTTGGTGGAGGTGGGGGAAGGTTGGGAGTGGGCGGAGCTTGTCTCTTAAAGGGTCAGAGTACCCAGGTGACAGACCAGGCCAGCAGATTATAACACCATGTGTTTGGTAGATAATGCTTGATTGGTATGCAGGATGGGGGTGTCTTTGCACATTGCCTATGTTTCCTTGGCGTAGCAGAGTTAAATAGTTACAACAGAGGCCCCCAAAGCACAGTTCCTGACACTGTAGAAAGCACTGGCAAGCCCCACCTCAGCTGCCTCTTTTCTCCTCCAGGAACAGCGGCTCCCATAAACTCTACACCCATTTGCCTTTTAAGAAAACCTCTTATTTCACACATTGACTGTAAGATGTGTCAATAAACCAGGAGGACAGATTCCTCGGTGATGTTTGCCATGCATATCTACTGGTGGTGGCTGGGGAACAATACCTCTTTGCCTGTGTAGTGTGTGTAGTGGCCGTTGATGCACACAGGTAACATTTATAGATGTGTTGCTATTTTGAATAAAGCAGCAACTACAAAATTCTCAGTATAATTTCTGATGACCACATATGGGAAATCACCTGGGGCCAGAGAGATATCTCAGTAGTAAAGCTTACCTTGCAAACCCGACGCCTTGAGTTCATTCTCAGAACCCACATGAAGGTGGAGGGATAGAACCAGCTCCTGCCATCTGTACTCCCTGTCCCCACCCCGTGCACACACTCAGCATAATAAATTTTAAGAATTAAAGCCCAGGTATTTCCCTGCAACATGTATTTAGAATATTTATGTCACGGGGTGTTTGTTCCCATGCCTCCTGGCTACTCCATTAGCTTCTGCCTATTACTGAACCATATAAATGAACCCTACATTCTGCACATGAGACCCCTGAGCAGCCCTCTCTTTGAGCTAGAATAATGTCTGTCTTACAAGAATTAGTCATTCCTTAAATACTTGGCTGGACTTGTGGTAAAGCCATTCTTTTCTAGATACGTTTGAGTGAATATTTTATTAAATATGTATTCTGCTCCTCTGAATGGTCATTCTACTTCTACAATGTTTTTCTAGACATTTTATTAACATCTTGCATTCTGGTTGGAAATCATTTTATCATTTACATCTCATCAGATATGACATTAAGTTTCTATCCTTCCCCTCCAGATGGTCTTCTGTTGCTCTCCGTCTGGTTTCGCTTTAGTCAGAGACAACACCTGGTGTGCCTTCCCTCCTTTGACTTCTGCTCCCAGTAGAACCCATGCTGGTGATTTTTCTCTGCACGCCTTACAGTGCGTTTCCTGCTGTCATTGGGTGGCTGTGTCCGTCAGGCTACGTTGACAGTGTTGGCCAATTCTTCCCTGTCTTCAGGTGTTTCTGTTAGTTACCATCGGTGCTTCCGGTTGTGACATTGGCTAGTGTGATCAGTGTGCAGCTTCAGTAGTGTTCGTCAAGCTCATCGTGTCCTTCCCCATGACATTTCTCTTTTAATCAATGCATCTTTACATTTGCACACACATCTGACTTAGGTCACATGCAAGCCTGTGTTTTACGTTGTCAATGATTTGAGCCTCGATTTTTATTCCATCTGATAGTTTAGAGTTTTGTTCTGTTTCTGTGGTGCTGGAGGTGGAAGCCAGGGTCTCACACCGGCGAGGCCAGTGTTCTCCTGCTGAACTACACCCTCAGCTCTTCAAGGGCTTTGTCTTTTCATTTTAGGGTATCTCACTTGTTCACACTCAATATGGATATTAGTGAGGGCTAAGTGTAAAGTTACCACTTTGGTCCTTGGTTCCCGTCTGTCTTATTGCTTATTTGTTAAAAACAAAACAAAACAACCCACCCTCTTATATTCCATTTTGAGCTGTGTAAACTTTTGTCTCACTGTTTCCCTTGTTAGCTAATAGCTTGAAATCCGTACTTTGTCAAGCGGGTGGTTGGTTACAGGTTATAGTTTATATTTAACTCACCTCACCATAGTCCATTTATTAGTATACTTACCACTTACATATGGAATAAGGACTTTATCATGCTACACATTTATTCTTCCATAATTGTTCTATTGTAACCACACCTTTTCGTGTATGCATGCAAGGCTTCCTGTTGACGCTTACCCTATGCTTCCTCTCTTCTCTCTCTCCACCCCTGCCATCTTCCCCCCTCCTTTCCCCATTTCCCAGTTCCCTTCCTCACATTTTTATCCTTTTGTAAGCTGTGTGATCACTGTTTAGAGTGAAGAACGATTAATACAAACCCAGAGAGAGAAAATGGGGTTCAATTTGAAGGTCAGAAAAGCAAAACAGCCAGTCACTGGCTTTTACTTCTACCTCAGACGGAAATGGCGATCCTGCCTCCAGGAGTCTCAGAATGAGACTGAGCCTGAGGGTTGTCTCCTCCTGCTTTTTTTTTTTTTTCCCTTGGACTAAGTTTATTATATAGAATTTCAGTAGCACCTTTTTAACTCCCAAGACTAGAAAGACATAAGTCAATCCACTCTTCCAAGCCTTCTATTTTTACAATGGGGAAGCCTAGTTTAGAGATGAATGTCAAATTCAGGATAGAAAAATGAATTCCGTAATCAATAAGTAGGACTACAACAGACCCCCCCATTCAATTAGTAAATTGGAATTATGAAAAATTGTTGGGCCAGGGTAACTTTTTTACAGGACTACAACAGGTTCCATCTCCTGGCTGCTTTGAACAGGTCTGCCTATGTGTGCTCTAAGCCTGAGACCTTTTGACTCCCCTATCCACGGGACCTGAATAGGCCTCTTCTCTGACTTTTAAAAACCAAAACCAAGCAAAACTCTCACAGATTTCATACTCAGAGTGCAAGCCAATTGCACTCCTCCTGCTTTATATTCCTCTCTAGTTCTGGGATTACGGGTGTGCACCACTACCGCCTGGTTTCTATGGCAAACTAGTGTGGCTACTGGGATTAAAGGTGTGTGTCATTGATACCTGGTCTGTAAAGCTGGCCAGTGTGGCTGTTTTATTTTTTTGATTTTCAAGCAAACTTTATTTCTTGAAGTACAAATGAAATGCCACTACAGTAGAGCGAGCTGCTGGAGCCCGGAGGTTTGCCTGTGGGTGCACAACTGAAGAAGATGTCTGCCCCTCCCCCAGAACCCACCAG